ACGGGCTTTTGCGAGCAACTTTTTCGAACTTCTGCGACAACGGTTGCGCACCTGCCAGGGCCATCATCCCTGTCAAATAATACCATGCGGGACACATTCGTCTCTCTGTATTATGTATTGTATGGCACAATTGCACCATGCTGGGCACATGCGCGCCCCGAATAAGTGACCAAGTTCTGTGGGTGTGTACCCCACGCCAGTGTAGTAGCCACGGTCGTCCGCACGCCACGAAGTGAAGTGTCCCAACGTCATAGGGCGGGAAGCTGGGTTTGGGTGGTCGCGAAGAGTCGTTTGGATATTTGGTAGAGCTTGTAATGCCCCCCCACGAAGTGGGGGTATTGCCTGGTGTCGTATGAAAACCCTGGCACTGGGGAGAACACCACGCGTTCGGGTAAAATGATTGTTGTTGTTGTTGTTGTTGTTGTTGTTGGTGGTGGTGGTGGTGGTGGTGGTGGTGGTGGTGGTGTTTGGACGCTCGATGTTGCAACCATTTCGGCACCGAGGGTTTTTTGGGGATTTCGGCATGCGCGCGTGTGCATTTGCTCGGGGTTCTTGAACATGCATGATTTTGTGTCAGGCGGGTGCGCGCGCATAGTATTGTGTTGCTGAGGATGTCGGGGGGTCTATACAGGCCTGGCTGGGTTAGTACGGGTGCACAGGTAGGATGGACATTGGGTCAGAATCGTATGTTGATTGCAACAAGAAAAGGTGGGTCGATAAGTCCGGGGGGGAGGGTCGTAGAACCTGTTCCCTTTAACATACGAGTTGACACATTCCATGCTCTTGCAAACATCCCACCCACCCACCCGCAATTTAGTTTGCAAAAGCATGCGGTGGCGATTGCGATGCATGCTTGGCGTTGGCTGGGGCATCTCAACGGCCGTGCCAACCCAAACACGCGCGCGCAGCGGCCAGCTAGTTTGGCGCGGCCGACGCGGCCGCGGTGGCGTTGACCGCTCGACACATTCCAGCGGGCTTTTCAGTGCGAGTCGGCGAGTTTAGCGGGCGCGGTATCATGGCAACGTCGACGACGGTAGACACGATGATGAGAATAGCGGTGCTGGTGACGATGTTGACGACGACGAAGGCGCGGCCAGTGCGGGCGCCGATGCTGGTGACGCCGAAGACGATGATGGCGTCCTCGCGTCGAAGATTGTGGAAAGAGTTCGGGCTGCACGCGCGGCCGACGCGCGAGAGTGGCCCGCATGGTATTCCTTGAAACGGATCGCGCCCCATTGCCCCCCAACGCGCGCGCAAGGGCGTGCGAATGATGTCGGCACGCGGCGGGAAACATGTTTTTTTTTTTGCCGAATTCCATGGACATGTTGGGAAACCGCTGGTTTTCTCTAGGCTTCGCAAAAGCGGGACCGCACACTTTTTTGATATATATGTTCTATACATATATACATATAAAATGTGTTGCGACAAGCCATGTGTTGTTGTATGTTTATTTGCACCGTTGGTTTTGAAACCGCTACGAAACCGAATGTTGTTGACTGATTTCGGCATGGGCGCGCGACGACGCGCGCGCGTGCACTCCGTCCCATATGTTGCAACATAATTCTTGCGACGGCACGCGCACAGGGGCGTTCGAACGATTTCGACACGCGCGGGCGCGAATCCTGTGTGGTTGCATGTTTTGATGCAGTTGAACAACCGTTGGTTTTGTCAACAATTTGTAGGAGCGCGCGCGCAAGCTCCTTTTTGAACATCAGTGTTGCGAAACCTATGTTTTAAACAATTTTTGGGACAACAGATTTCGAAGTCGATGCAAAACCACCGTTTTTGTTTTGACACACTGATCGGCATGCGCGCGTGACGACGAGCGTGTGCGCAATTCGTTTCATTTTGAACGTATATGACGAACGTATATGGCGTTTGACGAGCGAGTGCGGGCGCATAGTATGTCTTGCAGACGATGACGGGGTGGTGATACCAGCTCGGATGGGACGATATGAGTTTATGATCAAAATGGACGATGGGGCATACTCGTATGTAAACTGCAATACGAAGAGGGGGGATAGAGTCTACTTAATCAATTATGTTCCTTTTTTAGAAAAAGAGAATCTACGTTATGCGATTTCGGCTGCACTGGGGCGGCGACGGCGACCACAAGGCGGCGGGCTTGACCCGCAAACCCCGACGACGGACGGCGACGAGCCGGCGACGGAGCGGCGACGGCGACCACGTAGCCGCCAGACCGACGCGCAGGCCCAGGTCTAAGTCCAAACATTGTTCGGGGAATTGTCCATTGAAAGGCGATATGCCGGCCCCCCCCCGCCATCCTTCCTCCAAAACAAATTCGACTTGATCGCGGGGCTTTGGCGCATGATTCAGATTTTCGTGTACAGTGTACAGTACATTATATTATGCTTTTTGCTTGAGATGGTCGGGGGTGCTGGCATCACGATGCGACATGATCGCGGGGCTGACGCGCATGGTTCGCATTTTGGTGCACATTGCACTTTGTAATGTTTTTTTGCAGGGGATGGTTGGGGGGGCTGCACACAGCAGGCACATTGCCGGCAGCCCCTCCGCCTCTGTCCGAAACAATCTCAGATGTTGGTTGGTGGATTTTGTATGGTTCTTGGAGGGGTTGTCATGGATCTTGGTCTGTCGCGGGTCGGGTGGGGGCCAGGTCGGAGCAGGAGCCGTTCATCTGTAAGACGCGTAGGCACTAGCAACAGGATCGTTATTGGACCCATGTTTGGTACAGCGCCAACCCGTAGGTATAACACCCTCCAGGTTGCGATAGCGCGGTGCAGCAAACGGACAGCATCACGATTGTGACGCATGAAAACGAAGCGCATCACGATTGCAAGGCGAAACATGAAGCGCCCGACTGTGAGGCAAACTAAAAAAGAGGCAGAGGAGGAGGAAGAGAGGGAGGGAAAGCAGCAGAAGTGTGAAGTCTTACACTCATTTGTTCCATGGGAAAAACTAATGTCGCGCACTGCTGTCGCGGACGCCCTCTGCCGCGGTGGCGCGACCAAGTTTTTTGGGCACCATGCTGGTTGCTCACAACACGGAGCAGTGATCAAGCTACCACAAGCCGCAAGCCGTCTTCTTTATTCCCACCCGCCCTCTCAACATGCAAGTAGCTCTCAGCATGGACAGGAGCCGCCATCGACAACTATCGGGAGCAACTGCAGGCGCCAGCCAGGTGCACGACGGCCGCGAGGTGCGCCGCGCGTGCCAGTGCACCCCCCATCACTCCTGTCAGAAAACAGTTCAAAGTGATCGTGGGGCGCCCGCGCATGGTGTAATATTTAGCCGCAACGTGAGCTTTGTATGTGTGTTCGACAGGGGTGGTGGGCCTGCGCACGAAGGGTAGTATGCCCCCCACTTGGCCACTGAACATATATTGTAAAGTGAATGCGAGGCGCCCGAGCATGAGCCAGACTTTGCCGCAAAGTGTATTTTGCTAGTGGGGGAGGTGGTGTTCTTTGAGAAGGAACAGCAAGGTAAAGATAGCCCCCTCCCTGGAGGGGAAGTCTGGGGTTGGAAGAGAAGACGCCCGAAAGCACCTACGCAAGAGATGGATGGTGGGACTCGCCTCTCTTCCCCCCAAGATGTGCTGATAGTGGTGCGGCCCCTTCTGCCACTTGATGTGTATTCACAGAGCTGGTCCGACCTTCCAGAGTGGCGCACCCGCTGCAGCGTGGGGCGCATTTCAGGATCGGCGCTTTCACCCGTCGTTCAGAGCGGCGCTCTCGCCCCAGCGCGATCCGCTTTCCTGGATCCGTATCCCTCCTCATCGTTGTCGCCCCCTTCTTGCCCATCCTCCGCATCCCTGGTCCTCCTGCTCCTCCCGCTCCTTCCGCTCCAGCTCCTGCTGCTGCTGTGAGGCCTCATCCTCGTCCTTCCTCATCCTCCTTTTCCTCTTGCTCATCCTCCTGCTCATCCGCCACCTTTTCCTCAAATGTGCGCACCTCCCCTGTTCCGATTGTGCATACCACATTGGGGCACCTTTTTGAGTTCCATGTCCGTTTTGGCACGGGTCGGCGAAAAGACAGCAAGTCTACGCAGCGAGAAGGGATGGGAGGGATGGGCAAGATGTCAGACATCGTACGCGCACCCAGCTTGCTCCTTCCATCCCTTCCCCCCCTGCCCCCTTCCCCATCCACAATTCAAGTGCACAATATGAATACTACTCTCCCCTGATGACGTCCGGGAGATGTTCGGCCTCTCTCAGCATATGGTTTTTTACACAGGATTCCCGGGAGTTGGGCTTTCGCTTGGTTTTTGTTTGCTCCCGCTGAAGCGCTGGCCTCATTTTCGGGCTTCCACTCGTTCCGAATCGTTCTCCCGCTGCAGCGTTGGCCTCATTTCCGCGATTCCGTTCCTTCCGAATCGTGCTTCCGCTGCAGCGTTGGCTCATTTCCGCGTTTCCGCTCGTTCCGAATCATGCTCCCGCTGCAGCGTTTGCATCATTATTCCCAGTGCCATGCCACGGCATGCAATGCAATGCTATGTGGTGGTCTGCTGCCTTCAGCTGCAATGCTAGGATATGCAGTGCTTGACTACGCACGGCCACGCCATGCTATGCCATGCTACGCTTCGATCTTCAACGCCATGCTATGCCATGTTCGGTTCTGTGTCGCTGTGCGATACCATTATTTGCGTTGCAATGCTTTGTGAAGCAATTCTTCACCATGCAACGCCACGCCATGCTATGACATGCTACGCTCTGCCGTGCTCTTCTACGCCCTGCTATGCCGTGCACTACGATGCATCGCACACCCTCTCGGGATCATTGTCCTGCTCGACATCTGACTGTGCGAATAAAGAGGACATCTACACCACAGAAAGGGACGAGAGGGAGGGGTAGGACGTCAGATATGACGCGAGCGCACCTAGCTTGTCCTCCCTCCTCCCCCCACCCTTCCATCCCTCTCGCCCCTCTGGCCAGAGCCCCCCCCCCTGGCCGTTAGCCGCTCCCCCCCCGCCCTCCACGCGGGGGGAGGGGGGCGCGCTCCTCACGGCCCGGCGCCGCGCGCATGGCCACGCCGTGCGGCGCCGACGGGTCGGCTGCTCGTCGTCTCCGCCGGCGGCTGCCGCTGCCTCCCCCGTCGTCCTCCCTCCGCTCCTCCCTTGTCCTCCCACCCCCCGCCTCCCCCTGGGGCTCTAGTGCTCCTCCTCCCTCTGGTGCTCCTCTAGTGCTCCTCCTCCCTCTGGTGCTCTGGTGCTCCTCCTCTCCTCCTCCCTCTGGTGCTCCTCCTCCCTTAGCTGCATACTACTCTCCTTTCTCCCCCGACTGGGTCTGTCCAAATAACGCCCTCAGAATAGCCGCCCCCTCTCCGCGCAGGGCTTTTGTACACATGTTGTGCCCGAGTTTGTTTCTCTTATGTGCTGTATCCATTCGATCGGTTGTGCTCCTTCCAAAAGAGTGCTCTCGCTGCAGCGTGGGCCTCCTTTTCGGATCGGCGCTGCGCTCCCGTCGTTCAGACTGGCCCTCCCGCCCCAGCGTGGCTAATTTTCCTGAATCTCGCAGGTCTCGCAGGTCCCACAGGTCTCGCAGGACTCGCAGGCCCCACAAGTTCCACAGGTCCCACAGAACCCACTGGTGTCCAGGTCGTCCCGCAGGTTCCATAGATACTACCGGTCTGACATGCTCTACAGGCCCACAGGTCGCACAGGTGTCGCAGGTCTCGCATGCCCGCCAGGTCCTACAGGTCCGGCAGGTCTCGCAGGTCCGACATGCCCCAGAGGTGTCGCATACCTCACGGACCTCGTGGACCCCACAGGTCACTCAGGTCCCACAGGTCCCGCAGGTCCCGCCGTTGCCACGGGTCCCACAGGTATCGCAGTTCTCAAGGGTTCCACAGTTCCCACAGGTCCCACAGATTTCACTGGTCCCATAGGTGTCGCAGGTCTCACAGGCCCCACACGGCAAAGGGGTCTCAGGTCGCACGTCCAATCAGTTTTCTTTTTCCGGCTGCGCAAAACACGATGTTGTCTCTTTTTGGAGTTCCAGGCTGGCTATGACACGCGTCCGCGGATTGAGAACAAATCAACGTACTGGGAAGGGTTGGGAGGAAGTGGTAGGGTGTCAGATATGGCGCGATCGCACCTAGCTTGTCCTCGTCATCTCTTCTCTCTCCTCCACCTCTTCTTCCGTCTTTTGCCACGGCTCCTCCCTCTCCTCCACCACCTCCTCCTTCCTCCTCCTCCCTCCTCCTTTTTGTTCCTCCTCCTCGCTCCTGCTGCTGCTATCGGCTGATTTGATGTTATCCTGAAGTCGCTCCCAGCCCTGCCCCCCCAACAGGGAGGCAGGGCCGGTATTGAAAGGTGCGGCACTAGCCGAAAGGGGGGGCTACCCCAGAAGGCGAGGGAGACACGCGGAGGGGGACGAAACGGGAGGAACGAAGGAGAGAAAGCACGCACGTCGAGGTGGGGGAGAGGAGGGAGAGGTCCCAGCCATGCACTGAACCCCACGAGCGCCCCCCCCCAAATGAGTACGAAACGCATGACAGAGGAACGGCGGTGGAATGAAATGGGGGGTTGGGGCTAGGGGGGATCGGTTAAAGCCCGGGGCCTAATGATAAGCGGTCGCTATGGGCACAAGCGCAAGGTGAAAGAAAGAGGGGGAGAGGAGGGAGACAATGATACAGTAAGGGGCAGTGGAAGGCGACGTGGGAAAAACCAAGGCAAGCGGGCCGATCCGGCCGCGAGGCAATCGTGGCATCTCCAGGCGAGTCCGTTTCCTCCGTCGCCCCCCACCTCCCTCGCTGCTCTTATCCTCCCCCCCCCCCAAGATCACCACCTTCACTGGCCCAAATGCGGTGGACAGAAATTAGCCCCTGCATCGGTGGCAGCGGGAAGAAGGGTGAAACCGGTCTGGTCTGGCATCGACACATAGGGAGTGAGGTGGGCCGCGGTGGGTGATCCCCCTGGACAAGGCGGGCCCAACAACGACGGCCTTGATGCATCACTTCTGACCCCGCAAGTCGCCGCGCGACCTCGCGTGGACCGGTTCCAGTGGCAGGCGGATGTGGTCCAGAGGGAGAGAAATGAGCTATGAGGCGCGTGTGGTATGTGATCGCCAGTGCTTTTTGCAATCCTTTTTGGGTTTAGCGCCGCAACCCTTTTGTGCCAAGAGAAGGTAGTGGCGCAAGGCAGCCCGACGTATGCCTGGCACGTCGCGGTATTACTGTATCCCTGCCCATAACAGGCAGCAGCTGCCTCGAATTGAACGGCCCCTGCCATGGGGCATCCGACGGAAAAAGACGAGGTGAAGAGGAGAGGGCGACGGGCATTCCTGGGCGCGGTGCTCCTCTGGTCGCGGCGGGAGTCGCCTGGTGCAGAGCGGCATGTATGTATATATATATATATATATATATATATATATATATGCACATATCTGTATGTCTATGTGTATGTATATATATAGAGAGAGAGAGAGAGAGATCAATGCTCACGTCCCTCCCCTCCCAGGCCCAATCTCCAACACCCCATCCCTCCGTGACCACAAGAGTGGAGGAGGATAAGGATGAGGGGGGAAAGCAGGAATGAAAGAACATAGAAGTGGGCAGGCAGGGAGGGAGGGGAAGGTTGGGAGAGGGCCACTCACGGTTAGTCTCCTGGGAGGTCGAAGCGGATGGCGCTCGTCCCCCGTCGCGGCGCAGCTCGTCTCTCCCAGCTCGGGCTGCCGCCTTCCTCGGCGGGGCTGCCTGGCGCGGGCTGCCAGCGTGCTGGCGCCAGGGAGCGGGCCTCCTCTGACGAGACACCGTTGTGTTCGTCGTCGTGGTCGTGGGGGTGGTCCGCGAGACTGTCGCGGAGGCTGTCGGCGAGGCCGTCGCGGGGGTCGTCGCGGGGGCGGGTGTGGTGGCTGTCGTGGTAGCCGCAGCCGTTTTCGCGCCCGCCTTGGCCGTCGCCGTGACGGTGGTCGTCCGGGGGGTTTTCGCGGGGGTTGCCGTCGGAGAGGTCCTCGCCCCGAAGCCGTCGTCGAGGGCGTCGTGGGGGGCCGTCGCGGGGTCACGAAACAGGAGGCCGTCGGTTCGGTTGTCGCGTCGTCCGCCCAGCAGCCCGTGAGGGCAGCACTGCCCGCGTAGCCGGGGGAGGCCGTCGCTGGGGCGGTCGCGGGGGGCCGTCGTCGCAGGGGGCCGTCACCAGGGCCGTCGCGCAGTGGCCGTCGTAGGGGTTCGTCGTCGTGGTGGGTCGCGAGGGCATTGGGGTTCAGTGGGAGGTCGCTGGGTGATCGCGTGGGTCGCCGTGGGGGCCGCAGCGGGGGTCGTCGCGGGGGTCGTCGCGGGGGTCGTTGTGGGGGCCGTCGCGGGGGGCGTCTTGGGGGCGCCCGGCTCTCCCTATGACCGCGTCCCCGGGTACCCCCCACGGGCTCCCTCTCAGGGCATGCGGCCACTCGGAGTCTCGAGCCGTCCGCGGGGGAGGCGGCACCCGCCGCGCTCTGTCCAGCGGCCCCTATGGCCGCTTCCCCAGGTATGCCCCCCACGGGCTCCTTCACAGGGCATGCGGCCACTCGGGGCTCGGCTGGGGGGCCGCGAGGTCAGTCGCGGGGGCCGCGGGGTCGTCGAGGGGGGCCTTCTTGTCGTCGGGAAGTCGGGGGGGGCAGGCGCGGGGCTCCTTGGGGTGGCTTCGGCTGTCCCTAAGACCGCTTCCCCGAATATGCCCCCCACGGGCTTCCTCTCAGGGCATGCGGCCACTCGGGATCTCGAGCCGGCCACGGGGGAGGCGGCGCCCACCGTGGGCTGTTCAGGGGCCCCTATGGCCGCTACCTCGGGTATGCCCCCCACGGGCTTCCTCGCAGGGTATGCGGCCACTCGGGGTGCTGCCGTCGTGGGGGCCGTCGAGTCGGGGGTCGTGGAGGCCTTCGGGTTGTGCGTGGGGTCGTGGGGGGTCATGGCGCGGTGAGCAGGGTAGGGGGGCAGCAGGAGGCCCTCGTTGTCGCCGTGGCTGGCTCTGGCCAGGAGGAAGATGGCCGCCTCCTTCCTCATGACGGAAGGCGGCCTGTCAGCCTGTGCGTAGGACTGGGGGTGATGTTCGCGGGGTTGGGCGTGCGGGTGGGCGTCGGGGTGGGGAGGGGCGACGAGAGGAGCGCGGGGGCGGTCGTCGTCGTCGGGTCGGGCGTCAGGCACTGGGGGGGCACTGGGGAGAGCGTCGCTGTCGACGTCGGCGTCCTCCTCTTCCCTCCATCCCTCCCCGCGCTTAGGGTTATCAAGCTCGTTGGAGTCGCTGTGGTCGTTGTGGCTGCTGATGGTCGTTTCGCTGTTGCCACCTGTTTGCGGACAGCCTGGCAGCAGATACGCGTCCTCGAGGTTGCTCGGCAGCTGCGTACAATGAAGACGTTTGCATTTTCGAACTGCATCTCCAAGGCGTCTCCTGGCCTTGGTTTCAGCACTGGTACGAAGGGCCATGAAGTCTCGAAGCTCAGAGAAAGGAGCAGTCAGGCGGAGGGGAAGAGCTTCGGTATGCGATCTGGTGCAGTCGCGGGCGCCCGATGTCCACCTGAGGACTGGCCGCCGCGCTTGGCAGCAGCACTCGCCCGAATCGCTCGGGCGGGCCGCGGCTTCCTCGCTCCTCCTCCTCCTTGTTCTCTTTCTCCTCTTCCTCCTGCTCCTCCTCATCCTCATCTCTCCTCCTCCTCCTCCTGCCACTGCTGCTTCTTCTCCTCCTCCTACTTCTCCATCCCTTTCTTTATGGATATTTCCCAGGTGTCGCACCCCCAGGCGTGTTGGTAGGTCCCTCTGCAGTTGTCTTCATGTGTCGACGGGTAGGGAACCAGTGTTGCAATTGTTTCTAATCCACTGTGTCCAACCACGCCACACTTCGCAGTTAGCTCTCGGAGGCCTCTGCCTCGTCCTGACTTGCTTGGTCCTGGTCCTCTCGCAGCTCGCTGAAGTGCTGCCTCGGACTTCCGGCGGGGAAGGGTCTCGTGGACCGCCGTCCCGATGGTCTCCTGGGCCTGCGTTCCCTCGTCGTTGTCGTTTTGCTCGTCGGGTATGTCGCCGTTGACGCCCCGACAGAGCGATCACAACACTCCCGCGCCTTGTCTTGCTCTTCCGGCCGCAGGCTGGCGAAGCCTTGCAAGGCACCTTCAGAACCCCAGCCCCCCGCACGCAGCCTGCATGATACCCTCGCGGGTTCGCCGTGCTGGCAGCGCTGCGAATTTGGAGGTCTCCTCTGGATACGGGCCCCTGCACGAGGAGCCCCGTATCCAAGAAGAGATGAGATCGAGCAGCCTTAGCAGCAACATCGGTGCTACCGGAGCCGCCACGGGAGGCAAAACGGCCATGGATCACCCAAACAATTTTGGAGTTGATTGAGAAAAGAAGTGAAGCCCGACTACGTAACGACAAAACGACTGAAAGGCAATTGCTTAGAGAAGTTCGCACGTCTGCAAAGCAAGACAAAACGACATGGGTTGATGAGCAAGTCGCCGACCGCAGTTGGAACATGCTGAAAAGATGTTGCCGGGCCAAGCCGCGCAAACAGGGGAAGCTGTGGAATCTGGCAGGGGAGCTTGTTGATAGCTAGGACAGGGCTGATTGTACGGCGGAGTACGTAGAACAAGTTCAATGGAAAGTCCAGGTCGCGGATGACGGATAACGAAGTATTGTGCCCTACTCTCCAAGTTATCGACACGCCTTTCTCGCAGGCTGAGGTCGAAGCCGCAGTCAAGAAGCTAAAGTGGGGGAAATCACCAGGACCAGATGACATACCAGCAGAATATTGGAAGGCTGTTTCACATAATCCTGGAGGGTTGTGCTGGCTTGCGGATCTCTGTCTGCAACGCGTGTTGGGAAGAAGAGGGCATCCCTGCATAATGGAAGTTATCGGCAGTCACTTCAGTATACAAGGACAAAGGCGCATAGCAAAAATGCGAAAATAATATACCCATTAGCTTGTTGTGCGTAGCATGCAAATTATTGGCAATTCTGCTGCTCCAGCGCCTTCAAGATGCAGGAGCTGAAGAACGCCGCACTCCTACGCAGTTTGGGTTCTGGCGCGGGCGCGGTACCTCAGACGCTGTACGCGCAGTCCGGCGACAGATCGAATGCTCACGCACACGAATCAAATGGAGTGGCATTTTTTGCGTTGGATTGGGAGAAGGCTTTCGACTCGATCAACCCGGAGGCCCTCCTAGACGCATTACGGATTGTTGGTGTCCCGCAAAGGTGCCTGACGGTTATTGGTTGCATTTACCAGGCGAGGCAGTTCTACGTGACCGAGGGGGCGCACAAATCCCAGCAACGATGCCAACTATGGGGTATCGCCCAGGGCTGCCCTCTCTCCCTGTTCTTATTTGTCATGCTGATGGCAGTGGTCACGAAAAATGCCACCAGCTGATTAGAACAGCATACTAAAGACGCACTTTCGGCGGCAGCGCTGTCCGATTTGTTATACGCAGACGACACGCTATTGGCGGGCCGTTGCCAACGCAGAGTGCAACAAATCCTGGGTGAAATCGCGGCTGCAGGCGCCAGGATTGGTATGGAGCTGCGCTGGTACAATTTCCAGCTGACGTAAATTAATTGCGGCATGCACTTACGAACCCCGGATGGAGAGGACATCGCTCCCAAAAGTGGCATGGTTTATTTGGGCGCCACTCTGAACAGCAACGGGCAAATCGCATCGGAACTAAACAAAAAGCTCGGGGCGGTTTGGGGGGGATTTTTTGCAGATATTCTCGTGCATGGAAGCGCGCGTCGATTACTACAAACGGAAAGATGCAGCTCTTTCAGGCTCTGATAACCACCAAACTCATGTATTCCTTCACCTCTGCCTGGCCAAACAAATCTGAAAGACCGAAAACGGATGCGTTCCAAGCCCGGTGCCTCAGGAAGATCATGAACACACCTCATTCATATTCGCCGTATGTGTCAAGCCAGACTGTCTTGGAAACAGCTGTTCGCAGCAGCTACGACATCAACTTCTTTTGTTAGGTAAGCTTGGGAGAACTTGCGACGAGGACGCATAGAGAAAAATCACATTCGTGCCCGGCTCGGTCCAATCAACTACCACCACATTGCGCAGGAGACCCGGTATACCCAGGAACGAATGGGCGAAGTGCTTGCGTGATCGAATTGTGACCTGCTTCAGCACGGAAGGGGAATTATTGGAGTGCCTGCGCGACGCTACACAACGAGCTTCCCCGTTGATCTTTACAAGCCAGTGAAAGATTGCGGGAGCCGCCCTGTTTGAGTGATCCCCCCTGCCCGTTCTTCCCCGCCTATCCTCTTTTCCACCTGCGCACGATGCAGTTGAACAATCGGTGGGCGTGCCGCTGCTCCAGCAAAGCGGAGAGTACAGGCCGGCATCGTCTCTTTTCGCCCACGCGTTCCGGCGTATGGCCTGATTGTCTGACTGACTGCACGAGGAGGCGAATCACGTCCAGGAGGCCTGGATGCGTTTCGCGTCGATGAACCTTCAGGGTCGCGTTGGTCCCTTGGGCGGCCACGCGGGTTTTGGGTCATACCTCCGCTCGCTGGCGGCCGTTCGGAGAATCTGGTGGGCATCGGGGGAACGCCCTCGGCGAGGCGCAGCCGTTGAAAGTTGAATAACCGCCGAAAGCCAGCGACAACGCCCGAAAACCTTTACCCTCGAGCCCGCGAAACTCCCAAACTTCCTTCCCCAGCGCGCCATCTCACTTCAGCATCGTCTAACCTATCCCCATCCCGCTTGACCGTAATCTTGTCTCAGCCCCAAAAGCCCACGCCCCTAGATTGGGGTCGGCCCCGAGAAACTCGAAGGAGGAGGCGCATATCCCCGCCTAGGTAGGCAAGTCCGCCAGGGGCCACGCCCGTGCCAGTGGGGATACAGATCGGTGAAGCGATGTTCACTATCAGAGCCCCAGCGCAGTTAGCACCAACACTATCTGCGCGGGTGTGCCTCCATCGTGGGAAAAAGCTTCGGTTTCGGTGGTGCTGCTCGGGCTTCCCAGGTGGCCAACATATCCCCACCAACACTAACATGTAGGATCGTCTTCCTCCTGTAGAAGCACTTCCCTGTGTTGGTGTTGGCGTCCATTCCCACGCTTCCAACACCCAGTGACGTGCAGAAAGGGCACTAGTAGACAGGGGCGTAGGCGGGGGGATCTGCGCCATGGGCAAGGCTCGCAGAAGCTTGTTGAGCCCATTGCTTCGGTACCCCTACTACCTCTTCTATTTTGGCTGGGCTGAAATCGAGGAACAATTCTGACACCGTTGAAAACCACTGCCCCGTTTACCAGCCCACCGTTTGCAAGGCCTTGACACCGACCGCAAGACGTTGGACAAGCGAAACGCTACTGGGAAGGCAGTCTCCGATGCTCGATGCCCAGGTGTTTGCACGGACTGTCTATAGCATTTCTGGGCGGCCCCACCGTCAAGCGACGTTGGTGACAAAGCGCCTCTCCTACCTCGTGGCGTCGCAGTGATTCCCCCCCTTCAGCGCGCCGCCGAACCGCTGTCTGCGCCACCTCTCGAAGAAACAAAATATCACAAACATAATGAACTGCCGGTTTTCTGGATCGACGCACGATTGGGGGCCCTGTGCAGATCCAAAAGATCCGCGTGGTTCGTTGAACGTTTCTGTTTGTGCACTGTTGTTTTCTCCATTGGATCTGCGCCTCGCTCTGATGTATGATCATGAATTTTATGTGTGCAGTAGGTTCTTCTCCGATCTTGGAACAGGGACTGGGGAAACCGAAAGAGATACCGATACCGCCCCGTGCCTCTCCCCGAGTGCGTTCTGACCAGAATCTCGAGGTGGATCCAGCCGTTGCGACGACTGCCTCCCAGAAGGTCTAAACAGGCGAAAACGAGGCAAGGGCAACCGCATTGGTATTTAGAAGCCTCCTAGACGGGGGTCTGAGGATCGCGCCGCATCGCCAATGCGTCGCCGACGCATCGTCGATGCACGGGTGAGGCATCGGCGACGTCGGCGACGCAGCGGCGATGTCCGCGCAGAGCACATCGGGCCACACGTGGAGCGGCGTCGCCGATGCGCGGCGATCCTCCGACCCCAGGAGTCCGAAAGGCACCGATGCCGTTGCCGATGGCGTACGGTCACGTGTATGCTTCGGTCGGGCATGTCCCCTTGCAGGAGGAATAGCTAAAACAGCTGTTTTCATGGTCTGGAGGCGATTTGTTGAGCTAAGTCTGACTCGTTTTGAACATGTTTTGACTAGCCGCTTCACTTGTCCTCCAAAACCTGCGCCTGCAGGAGGACATGCCCGAGAGGAGGAGGAGGAGGAGGCGGAGGAGGAGGAGGAGGCGGAGGAGGAGGTGGAGGAGGAGCGAGGAGGAGCGAGGAGCCTAAGCTCTGCGCCGGTCTTCCTCCCTCCGTGCGCAGAGGCCGGCGCCCGGCCTGCCCGCCTGGCGGCCCTGGTGCATGCCGCCGCTCCGGCGGTTGCTCTCCGGGCGGCTGTACGGCGGAGGCCCGCCGCTCAGCGGAAGCGCTCCCGGCGAGGGCGGCCGCTCGGCGCTCTCGCGGCGCTCTTGAGAGATTGTTTTGTCAATCGGTATCGGTTAACCGATCCCCGTCCTCCTCCTCCTCCTCCTCCTCCTCCTCCTCCTCCTCCTCCTCCTCCTCCTGGGCGTGCGGGCGTACGAGCGGTCTCATCCGCTGGAGCCCGCGCCGCGCCGCGCGGCGCGCCCGCGTGGCCCGACGCAGACCTGGCTACTTCCGACGGCCTCCGAAGAATCTCCAGGAAGCCTCGGAGAGCGAGGCCGAGGACCCACGGGACCCCGCCAAGAAGGAAGAGGAAGAGCAGGCCTCAGAGGTCCGCAGAGAGAAGGGAAGGCGGGGGCCACCAGGCCGCCTAAATCTACGGGTTCTTTGGACCCCCTACCACCACCCCGATAGTGTCGAAGACGAACAGCACGCTATCGATGTCAGGGGTGGTGGACGGGGGTCGAGGCGCATCTGCACATGTAGACCGTCGAGCCCCCCAAGCCAGGAGCCCGGCCAGGAACAGGGAAACAACATGAGCCAGGCTAGGCAGTGAGCACAGGAGGGGCCCGCGGAAAACAAAGCAAAGGGGAAGCGGCCGCAGGGCCGCGAGGCCAGAGGAGAAGGGAGGGACCCAATGGCTCAATGAGGCCCTCGAGGACGGAGGGGAGATCAGGGGCCTTCGCGGGGACCCCCGCGGCCGAATGCCCCCGCGGGGCTGTCGTCACAGGAATGTGTCGTCCTCATCCCCCCCCCCGCCTTCAGGGGGGGGGGCGATGTACCAGTCGAAGTAGGTCACGCAGTCCGTGAGCCCCTCCAGCCGACGAGCCGCAGGACGTGGCCGCCGAGCACGATGGTCTTGCGCCCATGGTCTCACGCCAGGCAGCAGAAACGAGGCGACATGTGCCCAGCAGTCAGCACGCAGCCCTCGTTCGCACTATGGAGCCACGGCCCTCGTCCTCGGCCCCAAACAGCCCTCCGAAAGGGATGCTGGCTCCGAGGAATGAACCACGGCTCCACGAGACGCCATGGTTCACTCTCGTCACCTGACTATCCTCCGAAGGGATGCAGGCTCCAAGATTTGTACCAGAGGGCGCCCCAGGAAGCGACTGTCTGTGTGCTTTCCGCTGGGTCTTGCGTTCTGTTATCTGCGAGCGCGTGTGCTGCGTCATGGCGTCCCCCCCCCATTCGGCGCTATGCGCTGTGGGGTCCGCTCGTGGGCTCGTTTGCTCGATCGCCGCGTAGTAGCGGTCGTAATGTGTAGCGTACTCACTGAGGCCGCCAATCTCTTTTCTGTCTGTATGGCGACTTCCGCGTGCTGCCGCCAGGATGCGTATTATGTTGTCGTCGTCGGTGGTGTTAGGGAAGTGTTTGCTAGTGATGGACAAGTCGGTCATGGTGACGAGGTTGTTTCTCCCCAGGTGTTGTAGTTCGTGTGGGGTGGTTGTCATCATAGGCCCGATATTTGTCATGCAAGCCGTGCCTTAGGCTATGCACGTGCAAATGAGGGAGATGGCGTCTCGTACATTAGCGTTGTCTTCTGTGGTGATCGTGTGGTCGTGTTTGCTGGCGTCTCTTCTGCCCCACGGGTGTTGCTCGTCGCGTAGTTGGTTGCTGTTGCCTATGCTCGGAGAGGACTTCTGGTAGTAGGCGACGTCGAATGTACCATTCTTTATGTCTTTGTAAATAGCGTCGTTGATGTAGTCGACCTTTCTCTCGTTGTACTTCTGGCTCGTGTGGTTGGCTACGGTGCGTATACGTACTCGTCGGTGTTGTAGCTCTGCTTGCTGCTCGATGCCGTCGACGATGCGCATAGTGTCGTCGTTGTTGGCATTATGGCCGGTGACGATCAGGATCGTAGTCTGATATATCCCGTCGGTGCGTGGCCTTGCTGTATCTCCGTCGGTTGTATCAGCTCGCGTATGTCGTTGGTATCGATTGCCTCGAAAAGCGGCTTCCCTTTGTCCTCGCCGCACATCTCGCCCTTCATCTGGTTGCGGTGGCTGAGGGACTGGTGCAGGAATCATCGAGGTGCGTTCGTGCTTAGCATCTGTATGTAATTCGAGTGATGGTCCGTGGAGTTGGACGCATGGGCGTTCTGCGTAATCTTCAGGTGGTCTTTTGTTTTTGTTGGTCCGCCGTATGGGCCTTATTTCCTTGGATATGCCGTTAGCTGCGCCGTCGTCGAGCCGTTTGCAGAAGTTCATGGCGAGTGATGCACATTGTCTGCTGGCGCACACATGCTTGTACAATCTGTTCACCGTCCAGTACTCCTTCACACAGACTTGGCATGTAGTCCCGTGGATGTAGTCGATTGTATTGTCATCATGGTTGTGCTTCGCGTTCACGTGCTTGTGGTACGCTGTCTTGCCGTTCAGCATTCGCCCGCATTCGTAGCATAGGAACCTGCAATCATGTTGAAGGGCTTCACTGTCACGCGTCGGTATGATGGTGCCGACGCACATGTCATTGATGCGCCTTCTCCAGGCAACTGCGGCTGCTTGTGCTTTGTTGTGCTCGACGGCTGCCTTGTAGGCAGGCGTGTGTAGTTATGCTTTTGAATTTGGATGGTTCTTCTTTTGCCATGCTCATCCATTGGCGTATGTCGTCGTGGTTGGGCGTGTTGTGGTGCTTGCTAGTGTACGCTCTAATGTGGTGAAGGTCGTCTGCAATCGTAGTATACCATCCGCCGTTGTTCTCGATGTTGTAGTCGAGTAGGGCTCTTAGATCGGTCGGGCATGCCGTACTTAGCCGTATGAACTCTCGCAATTTTGCTTGCCGCTGTCTTTGTGGAAGTGTCGCGGTGCCTGCCCAGCTGATGATCTCAATGCTTGTGATCTTCTCCTGCTGTGCTGTCTGATGGTCAATGCCCAGTGCCATACTCGCTGCTGCTGTGTACGCAGTGGCGATCCTGTCCGTGTCCGTCCTTTTTGCAGGTACCCATGTTCCTGCATTGTATAGTAGTTGTGGGTAGCCAAGGGCATTGGGGGAGTGTATCTTGGCAGTATTGGTGATCTTGTCGCGCTTGGATGCCGTCTTTCGGAGTGGTGCGGCCCCTTTAGAGCAAGTACACGTGCTGAAGCTTCCTGGGTAAAATCATTCCGATCGTTCACCATTGCTCCCAGCACTTTAAGCGTTCGCGCGATGGCAACTGCCACCCCCATGTCCGTGTACCGTTTCTGGTCGATATGCATTTGTCTTGCTATTCGTTTTCCCTCCTTGTCGCTGGCGAAGATGAGGCAGTTGGACTTGGTAATGTTGATGGGTAGCCTTCGCGATAGTGTAGTTCGTATCAGTATCCCCCACATGGTTTGGACTGTAGTCTCGATCGCATTGCCGTCGGTGACCGTTGCCGTTCCCATTGCCGTCGGTGTCGTCAGTTGCTGTACTTCAGAATTAGTACAGAATGCTGGTGGGCTGCCTGGTATTCTGACTGCGGCGCCCGCTTTGATGGCCCCTTTGTGATAGTCTTTCGTAGCTGCAGACACCAGCGCGTTGAACGTGAAGTCGGCGATAGGTACTCCTGGTCGTGTTCCTAGCCTTGGTGCTGCGTATTCTAAGTCGCGCGCTATGAAGAACCACGTGTTGCTGTGGGCTTCAGTCAACATCGATAGCAACTGCTTGCTGTCTATATGAGTGATGACGATGCCATTGTTGTGCATGAGGGTCTGAATAGCCGGCTGCATGCATCTAGGGATGTCCATGTGGCCGATCATATTGTCGATGTCGCCTGAGCTCATTTGCATATCGTATACCAAATTCGTAGCTACCTTGTGAAATGCGGATTTCAAATCATGATCATGATGAGGTTGGTTCCTTCTGCGGCTGCAAGGTTAAAGGTCAGTCGCATTATGATGTGGTTGTAATCCGTGCTGTAATGGCTTCGACCTCCCATCTGTGCGCTGAAGAATAGCCCAGGTATCAGGTCCTTCATGCATTGGCGTATATACCTGTAGTGGTGCTTGGTGGTGGTGTTGGCGAGCGATATCGAACGGTGATTTTGTAGCGTCTCTTCGGTCCTTTTTTCCCTTCCAGAAGTGTGTCATTCGCGATCCTTTGTGCGTCGCTGCTTCTCGGATGAACAATGCAGTCTCCGAAATTAGTGGGTGCATGTGGCGTGCCATCTCTCGCGGCGCCGCGTGGGCGAGGTCGTCGGCAACTCCGTCAGGCCTTGCAGTTCGCCCGAGTTTGCACCGAGCCAGTTGTTCTTCAAGCTCGCAGATGCTGGCGAAGTTGTCGACGCTTCGGATCGCACTGTTGTCGCAGATGTCGTCCGTGTTGTTGTGTCGCTCTGACATTTCGGTCTTTGCCAAGAAGGTTGCAGCTTCTATGTCGCCGGAGTGATGGACGGCCTCGTTGTGCTTAGCCGCCGCGTCTGCAATCACCTCGCCGTCGCTATCCAGCATCAGTGGGCATGTCCGTGTCTTGCGGCGCTTGCGCCCACCAAATATTAGAAGCTTACGCATTCGCTTCCATTCGTTGTATGGCTCGTTGTTGTACCTTGCTTCTTTTGCACGTGTAGCTTGTTGGCTGAGGAACTCGTCGTAGCCGTCGTTGACCATTCGTGACGATGTTTTCCGCGTATCATTGCACCACTCCTCGTGCAGCGATGAAGAGTCCATTGTAGTCGTTGCTGGCGTCAGCCCGCTGTGCTTCGATAGCAAGCCGCATTAGTCCATTGTAATGCTGGTCGAGGTAGTTTGTTGGTAGGCTTCTTGTCGGGTGTTCGATGGTGTAGACTATTCCTTTGGCGATTCTCCTCGTAACCAGGTGGTGCTTTCGCCCATGCTGCGACGCTTTTCGCAGTCGCTTTGCAAGTCGTCGTCGGTCGATTCTGAATTCGAAGGCCTGTTTGGAACTATACTCCTGCATCGTCTTGTGCTGGCTATTCGGGAATGCTGCGGTGGCTGCCTCCATGCTGCTGAGCGTGTAGAAGTAGGCGTGCTGGTCAAGGCTTGTATACCAGTTGGGGAGCACCGTCGCATTGGGCATGTGCTTGAACTTGTTGATCGCCTCTTCGTCCGTCAGCATTGTTCTGTCGGTTTCTGGGA